ACTTTTTATGAACCTGTTATTCGCGCCGATTCTGGGTTACATGAAAACATTATTCATTCTATGGTATATATAGTTTTTTTCAATGCCTGATATTTATCATTGATATATATATTTGATTATTTATTTCATTTGTTTTATTCAGAAATGGGGACTAGTCCTATCTGAATCCGCTACATCGATACAAGCAATTAATTGTCGAAATGATTCATTATATAGTTCTTTAAATAATGGTGGGAATCAAATCCTCAGATATTTAAAGAATCACAAGCGATGCATCATTATCGCTCAAGGGTGCACATATTTAAGATTTATTCGAATTCTTATTCAACTTATATTTAATTATTTAATTAAATAATGTTATGTTTTTAGGTTCTATAAATGGTCTCGTGAACGTAAAAGTGAAAGAATGCCTTATCTGATCAAGAGAAAGGATGAACAGCTGCTTTTGTTAGCGGGACTTTATAATAAAGTTCAATGTGAATGTAAGTTTAATACGTATAAACATTATTTATGTTAAATAAGTTATTCAGAAATAAGTGTAATACGTACCTTTTTTATTTAGATGGTGATACCCTTTATACATATACCATCATTACGACTTCATCCTCCAAGTTCCTATCATTTATTAATGGACGAATGCCTGTAATCATGGAAAATGAATCGGACTATTTGGCAAAATGGTTAGACCCTAATATTCATTGGGACTCTGAACTAGAGAAACTTTTAGAACCTTATGATGGGGAGTTAATATGGTAATTTATAATTTTTATATTTAACTTAATATATATATATACATTTATTCTACGTATTTATTTTTATTTGTTAATTTTAATGTTCATTGTTCTCAATAACGATGATTTTTAGTTATCCTGTATCACAGGATGTAGGAAATGCAAGCAATGACGATCCGAGTCTAATAAATCCTGTTAAAAGAGCAGATATAACTAACTTTTTTCCGGTAAAAAATGATGAATCAAAAGATGTAAATGTATCAAGCTCGAAGCAGATGGTTAAACAAGATGATGGTGAGGATGTAAAAGGATCAACATCTATCATTTCAATTATACCAGCTAGGCGTCCGTTGGATGAATCGAAAAATAATATAGAAAGAGACGAATTTTTATTAAATGAAGAAAGTCATCTAAAGCGATTATGTGCGCTTCCTCATTCACTTCCCGCTGAAAATCCATCAAATAACGGGGCTTCAAGTACAGAACAATTACAAACATCATTGCCAAACACAATTTCTAGAAAAAAGTCCACATTAAATTTTATAGTACAGAAGCCGAAGTCACTTGAGATGAAAAGTATGACAAAGACAACTAATGTATCCCCTCCGAAAGATAAATGTTTAAAACAGAAACCGAAAGCAAAAAACAAGGCGGATGGAACTGCCAAAATTACCAACTACTTTTTAAAATAGGAAGCACAGATGACATGATGTTTACTGGCAAGATTATCGTTGTCGTCATGCGTTTTTACGTAATTTAACATTATAATTCTTCAATAAGCACTAACAATATTGATTAGTATTTATTCATGTATCTTTATAAGAATAACTTTCTTTATCACTGAATCAAGTACTGTAAAATAATCTCTGGTTATTATATAACAAGCAAAACATATGTGCGGATTTGTGGAATTGGGCCTTTTTTTGTAGATCCCTCAAATTATAATAAACCATCAGAATCATTAGATTTAGGCAACCAAAATCATCACAAAAATGTGGGTACGTAAGTGCTGTACTTTTATTTGATATGTAGTACATATGGTTATTATCAAATTAAATTATAAAATGCGCCACATGTTACATGGATTCGCATGCATATATGTGTAGGTGTATTTTTTGGAGCCTGCTGATCTTACTTTCGCTTGTAGATGTCATCATAGTAGGAGTCATCGCTTGTAGATGTTGTATTCGTAGGTGTTGTCGTCATAGGTGTAGTTGCTTGTATGCGTTGTCGCTTGTAGGTTTCAGTGGCTTATTATGATTATCCTTATATTTTTTTAAAAAAATCTTGTCTTCAAAGATATCATTCATAATTTATAGTATTGAGTAAGTCAAAATTAACTTATACTACAAAGAACGAATGTACCGGTAACCTCTGCACTAAGATTTAAAACCACTAACCAATAAATTTACAAAGCCTATTTTACATGATTGAAAGTGGAGAAGCATTGGTCAATGCACTTTGCAAGAACACCATATTAATTTTTCTGAATCTTAGAATAATAGATCAGAAGAATGAAAGCATTAGCCAATGCACTTTGCAAAACAATAAATTTGGATCAGAAGGTTGAAAAGCACTAGCTGATGTTCTTTGCAAGAACATCTCTGGAATAATAAACTTGGAACAGAAGAACAGAAAGTATTAATGCAGTTTCAAGAGCACCACGTTGACTTCTCTGGATCGTGGTAGGTTGAAAAGCATTAGCTGATGCATTTTGCAAAAACATTATGCTGACTTTTCTGGAATCACCAAGGCAGTTTACAGGAATACCGTGTTGACTTGGTTGGAAATAAACTTGGATTAGAAAAACAATTTGAATCAGAAAGATGAAAGGCATTAGCTGATGCACTTTGAAGAACACCACGTTAACTTCTCTGGATCCTGGTTAGGATAACAAACTTGGATCAGAAGAATGAAAAGCATTAACCAATATACTTTGCAAAGACAGCATGTTGATTACTCTGAATCTTGATTGGAACAATAAACTCGGATCAGAAGAATGAAAAGTAT